TATATATATATATATATATTTATTTATTTTTTTCTCTCACAGTAGTATTGTTCACTATATATTTGGTTTTTGCACATATTATTTATTTACTTGTTGGGTGATAGCGCCGCTTCACATATTTGAATGATATTAATGCAGGCTCATGCAGCCAATTTAAGTGAGCTGCGGTAAGGAGAAACGCCCAGTTTTCTTAGATTAATCGAGCGCAGTATATAATATTTAGGCTTGTCTTGAAAGCGTAGTATTATTTCCACTGCAGCTAGCCACTGAAGGCACTAGCTTCAGCTAATTTTGGTATTGGGGGCATTATTCTAGTTCTATTTCTGCACTGAAATTGTACCACACTTCAATGTTTAAATATAAATAGGTGCATTCCGATAATATTTTCCAGTGAATTGAGCTTTATAAGTTGCACATCATCTTCTGATATCTTCATTGAAGACCATATGATATACAGACACTCCTCACTTAACGACCGAATTCCATTCCTACAGCTAGGTTGTTAAGTGAATTGGTAGCTAAGCGAGGGATAGAGGAAATCAGCTCTAATTTACAGTACATTACTTAAGTTTGCATACTGTAAACACTAATGAACAGTACAGTAATGAATACTGACCGACTGCAGGAACAAGACTGAGACTGAAAAAGGGTGATGTGAGATGACCTTGATCCAAGTTCTCGAAGCATGTACAATACCAATTAGTCGGAGAGCTGGACGTTAGTCGCTAAACAGGTAGTTTCTTAAGTGAGGAGTAGCTGTATTCAGCTTCATATGGGTCCAAGTACATTGGTGTAATCAGCACCACAGCAGTGCATCCTAAATTTTTCATTAAAATTTTGCATGTGTGGAATACGTGGTTTAATGTTTGTGTCATGGTATTTATCAACCAATCAATTGTATTACTGACAGTAACATAATTCCTAAAACATATAATGCTTTACTACTGTTCCATAGGCAATTTGGGAACAGTTCATTAGCTGACATTATAGGGTCTAATTCGCCATTTTAGGCAATTCCTTTTTATTCTTAATTTTTTGTAATTCTTAATTTTATTTATTTATTACAGGTATTTATATAGCGCCAACAATTTAAGCAGCGCTTTACACAGTGCATAGTCACATCAGTCCCTGCCCTCAAGGATCTTACAATCTAAGGTCCCTATCTCATATGCACACGAGGGCCAATTTAGAAAGGAGCCAATTAACCTACCAGCATGGCTTTGGAGTGTGTGAGGAAACCGGGGTACCTGGAGGAAGCACAGAGAGAACATGTTAACTCCTTGCAAATAATGACCTAGCTTGGATTCGAATTGCAGATAGTGACCTGGATGGGATTCGGAGCAGGGACCCACAGTGCTGAAAGGCAGAAGTGCTAACCACTATGCTTATTATTATTATTATTATTCTGTATACTATATAATATTTATGAAATACACTATTACCCTGACTTACAAAAGTGCCTTGGCTGAATATTTCATTTTTCCATGTCTGAATATACAGTTATAGAACTGGAGGAAAAGAGGTTTAACTTTTGCATACGGAATGGATTCTTCACAGTTAGAGCTGTGAAAATGTGGAATGAGTCTATTTCTAGTTCTAGCAAGCTTAGTTAATTGTTTTTTGTTTTTTTAATCTGGATGTATTCCTAAATGCACAGAATATTACTGGATATTGAGTTCCTATAGGTACATGAAGCATCAGAGATTGTTGATCCAGGGAATATCCTATTGCCTTATGGGATCAGGAAGGGATTTTATTCCCTGTTGGAGCAAATTGAACCATGCTTTATAGGGTTTTTTTTTGCCTTTCTCTGGATCAACAGGGGGTAATTGTGGGCATAGCATTCTGATAAGGCTTTTCTTTTTTTTTTTTTATATCTCTATAGGTTGAACTCATTGGACTTGAGTCTTTATTCAACCTGACTAACTATGTAACTATGTAATAGAGTTTACATGAGCTGGCTAATATATGTTTTCTTAAATGGCTTTACCTTCAGAACTGGTAATCCCGACATGGAGGTCTGAGCAGCCATCATACTCTCTGAAAAACACAACAGATGATTTCTGGTTGTTTATCAGATTCACACATATGACAGTTTATTGAAGTGATTTATTCAGAAAGTTGAAGTGTACATAGGAACCCTGGACAGTTTGGCATCAGCTGAAAAGTGTGGGAATGGTAAATACAAATGTCTTACAATCCCTAAGGTTGCAATCACACACAATGCTTTTAAAGTGCCTCTACAATGCAAAGATGTGGCCTAGAGAAAAGATGTAGCATAGAGCCAGAGAATAATTGTAAATGTTGCTTTGTTTAAGGGCAAGTTCACACCATTTTCCGGACCAGATCTGGAACGCAGTGCATTGTGTTTTGCCACGTTTTTACAGCAATTTTGCTGCGTTTGGAAATTTATTTATTTATTTTTTGCTTAAAATTGTCTTACAGGTGTGTTCCAGTGCATTCCAGTGTGTTTTTATGCATTTTTATGAGTTCCAGTGCATTCTAGACCAGGAAAAATAGGACAAACAGTATTTTTCTGGTCTGGTCTGGAACAGACTGCGCTGGTGTGAACAGAGGCCAGAAATAGCATAGGAATACATTAGGATGCATTTTGGGTCCGGAAACAATCTGGTCTGGAGATGATCCGGACATGGTGTGAACGGGCCTGTAAATCGTTGACGCACGCAGTTCTGGTGTGAACTAAACCTCCGTTTACTGTACACTGTTCTCAAAGTCACATAGTCACGTTTATTTCCTGGAGGATTACCCTGTATCATCTAGCTCTTTCCTTCCCAGCCTGTCCCTATCTTATGTCATAAATTGGATTTCAGTTACTTCAATCCTGACTCAGAATCACATGTGGGCGTTATCTAGGGCAGTCTGCCTACAAAAACTCACTCCACCAGCCATGGTCTTCCTGCACTGCAAAGAGAAGGACAGGGATGCAGTGATGAGCAGATTATACTTCAGATTGCCATTTCAGCAAACCCAGCAGCAATTGGTACCTTCTCTTAATCAAAAGTAACAAATACTTCCAAATACAACTGTGAAAAAATTATTATTATGATTATTGAGCAAACATTCAACATGAAATAGTAAAATAATAAAAAGCAATTTGCTGAATTTTCACTAACCATAAAACAATATAAAAAAAAAAGATAATGAGTCAATACAAATATGAAAAAAGACTGTTGACACACACTGACAATACCAAGGATAAGGAGGAGGAAGATGAATAAGCACTCAACTGGTATGGTGGTCAAACTCCACTTTATCCGAACATTTGTAGTTGTTTATCCTCTGGTATGGATCTAATTGTAACAAAACCTTTCATTGGTTAAAAGACTGCTACAAATACCCTTAAGTGGAAGTAAACCTTTAAAACCACAATTTTCCAGCAGATAGAGTCTTTTGGTAGAAGGTAATTTATCAGTTTTCTTTGCCAAAAAGCTGTTTTACTTACTTGCTAGCTCTATTTTTTTTTATTTGCAAACTGACTACGGTTCATGCGCAGTACAGTATACAGTCCCGGTTCATTCCCAACATCTTACAGATAGATGCAGGGAATGGAGCCAAGTGCTGAGATAATGTAACTCCAGCGCAGATGCACATTTTGGTAAATTCTGGCCGCCCTTCCATGATTTCATTCCGCTTATATAAAGTAAGGCTGGTCACACGTTGTAATTGCATTGTACACTCTACTGTAGACTTAGCAACAATGATACAGTGCAAGGGCACACCTAACCTAAAGAAGAACTTTTATTAACCCTTGCAGTGGGGCTACCCCCTCCAATGCAAGGATTAACTTTCTGTTTTTGTCTAAGTGCTAAAAAAAAAACAACATGTTAGACTCACCTGAATTGCAGAGCCGGTTTGCTCTGTTCCTCTGGCTCTGGCAATGTTTCGGGGCCACACATGGTCCTTTCACCAGGCTCCTCATACTGAGCTTGACGAAGGGACCCTGTGTGTCCCCGTAATGTTGCCATTATTGTGACAATATTCGTCATCAAAAGACGTTTGCTTTCACACATATCTTCGGGGTGCTGGTGACATCTTGTTACTTCATTGATCTGAGTGGCACCATCTGCAGTCATGTCAGCACCCAACCCAAGGGGTTTTCCGGTAAGGTGTGCGATAGGTAAGTTTTGGACAAGTTTAAAATTCAATCCCTCAACATGTATGTATAGCCCAAACGTTTTTTTGTTTTTTTCGATTGTTTTTTGTTTGTTTTTGGATAGATTATGGAATGGTAAAGCTCCCTGTCAGTTAATTTTTTTTTTTTTTGGCTGTTCTTTCCCCTTTGGGGAGATTTCCGTTCACTTCCTTTCCCACAGATACAACAGAAGGTACGAGAAAATTGTTCCAATGAAGAGAGAGTATCAGCCTCAGGATTTACCTTTGATAAACTCTTACACACTACTAAATTTAGATTTTTCACCATAAGCTTTCTTTCAAATCAGATTTTCTCAAAGCTTCTCTCATCTCATTGTGTAATGTCATAGATTCAAAGAACTGGGTACGTAATAGTGGACCACAGCTAGAACACAATGTCCATTGTATGTGTAGTATAATATCGTAACAAAGTGTCATTTGATTCCAATGTTAATGATTAACTTACCCTATAAATTGGCCTTGTGTTGGCTTCAGTACAAAGCAGCATTTCTCACTGTGTGCATCGCTGAAAGGGCAAGGAATGCTGACAGGAGCCAGCCCCACGTCCCAGGAGCTCACTGTGTTTTCTCCACAGATAGGACAGTTCTGCGGAACAAAACTGCTGTAAATGTCTTTCTCGCAATGAGTAAACTTCACCAAGCTTAGTGCTAGAGGCACCATTGTCTTCTGCTCGTCATGATCCCTGTACACTGACATGGCAGCTGTGCCCTTCTCTGACGTCATATGACACAGGAAGAAACACAACACCTGATCTCACCTAAGCCGTAGCATTGTCTACTGAGCCAGGCAGTAAGCATTGAAAGAGCCATGTCTGTATCCCAGAGATGAATGCCGAGGAACTGACGCTTGAAGATTATATATCAGACAGAAAGGGTTTAAAGCATAACTAAACCCGGGAACAAAATGATATATATTGCAGCTCACTGGCTCTTGGTGGAGGTTGAATTTTATTTGTTCAAGCTGAGAACATTTTCAGAAAGTATAGAAAATAACCTGCTGATCTTGCCAGAAATGCAGTGTGCTTGTCACTTCCCGTGAGCTGCACTGAAGATGCAAAAAAAGTGTATTATCTTTCTTTCTGTGAATTATCAATCCCATCAATCACCATTTAACGTAGATGAAGGAAGGCAGACATATTAGTAGTCAAACCTGGCAATGATGGCTTCCTACATAGAAATAGTGGAGAATTGATTGTGGACATGAAAAGACAGGGAGTATGTTATTTGCAAGATCACCAGTTAAAAAAAAAAGAAAACCAACTAAACTGCCATCGGCGATCACTAAAGACTCATCTCATATTACACTTCAAACTAACCACTGAACTCTTTTTTAAACAATTCATCCTCACACAGCTACCTCCTCATGTATCACTTGCCTCTCCCTTAGATTGTAAGCCCTCATGGGCAGGGCCCTCCTTACCATCTTGTTTTGAATTGTATTGTGATTGTAATGGCTTCCTTATATTGTAAAGCACTGCGCAAACTGTAAATCCTGTAGTATTATAATAATAATAATATGGCCGCTGGTGCCAGCCCCAACATGGTTGTTGACTCAGCACTTTAAATGTATGGCTCCAGACGCCACCAGAGCACTGGCCAGAGTTAAACACATGGCCAGGCCGTGAGTGGCATAGGGGGAATGTTTTGGGGAGTTTCACATCCCCTACCTTAGAAAGGTATGGAGATAGTTGCAGGGAATCTGTCACCCACCATGCAGAAACCCCCCACAAGGCCAGAATAAACACAAAGCGCTACACTGAAAAAAAGAAACCTGGAAAAACCACACACAAGCAAATGAGCATTTTTGTTTTGTATTTTTAGTTACATAATTTTGTAATGATCACATCATGTGTCATTATGATCACTGATTAAGAGTCCTTTGGTGTAATCAAGAAGACAAACATGAAACTGACACATATTCAGCCTAAAGATTACACAATCTGCCCACCACGACAAGGTGGACTCTTTCAGGGCAGGACCTACACTAAACAACACTAAACTAACCTACGTGATGCTAGTCATCATTATTCTAATGTTGTTTGCCTGTTTGTGTGAAAGTTCATCCTATACAACCTGTTTGCAATCTACTCTAATTTGGTTGTTCATCTGTCTGCATTTATCTGGTGTTCATCAGTCTATCAGTTAGTGTATGGTAGTCAGTTAATGATGATCAGTGCATGGTAGTCGGTAATAATAATAAAAATAATAGTAGTCAGTAATAGGCTCAGTTCACAAACTTTAATGCAAAGATATGTACCTTTATTTTAGCCATGTGACTGTCAAATCTATATATATATATATGTGTGTGTGAGAGCGTATGTCTTTAGGTATGCGTTGCAGAGGGGAGGACAGGGTTGAATTGTTCCCTTTCAGCTACAGAACATTCCCTGCTGGCTGGAAAAATGGATGAGCCAGATGTTCTTTTACTAGGGACAGTCATAATTCTTCCCAGGGGACAAGACGTCATCTTCTCTTGAGCATTTGGCATGTTTCCTGATGGCCAATCCATGGTGATCCTGAGCACCTGGCATGTTTGCTGATGGCCAATCCATGGTGATCCGAGCACTCTCTTATCCACAACCAGTGATTCTGGCCTTGCATGACCTGTGCATACAAACATTAACAGATGAATGACTACTAGAGCTTGTATCTCATTTTGAATTCTTCTGTAGCCACTAAACAGTATAATGCAGCTTACAGTCTATACAGTTTCTAATAGCTAGGAATCATCCTTAAAGCCCAATTCTGGGTTCCTCATTAGGAGGTGGGCCTATGATGGCATGCACAGAACATGGTAGTGGAAAGGAATTACTACTTCAAACAGCACTGGAGAGGAGGTGGTGAGCATTGCAGCTTTTTAAACCTGTGCTTCCTGGGGCATCATTTAAAAAATGTCTAATTTGTCACAAGTTGGTCTTTAAAGGAGAATGATGAGGCGAGTGATTTTCACTCAGCCTTATAATCTGAGCCGACCTGTGACAATGAAACTGTCACAGGTTGGCTCAGTAGATCAGGAAGTGATCGAACACATACCGCCGCTCGCTCACTTCTCGCTCTATCCTTGCAGAGAGTCGTCACTGTCACTCACTGCTCCGTGCAGGGATGTGATCCCCCCCTCCCCTGTCCGATCCTCCGCCGCTGACTGGTGGAACGGACAGGCGAGGGGGCGGGCACAGCTGGCTCTGCCTCTGGATAGGCAGAGCCAGCTGTCAATCCCGCAGCTGGGTGGATCTCGACAGTTATGTTGGGATCTGTTCCGGTTGCGGCGTCTCAGTATACCGCGAGCTGTAGCTCGCGGTATGCTGAGCTTTGAGTCACGGGAGAACGCTAGTTTGTGTTCTCCCGTGACCCTTAGGAGAACTATGGGGAAAAGTATTCTCCTTTAACTTACACCTGTCACATGATAATTATATGGGCTTCCATTGCTGATCTCTCCTTTTGAAAATGTTATTTCCCTGTCCGTCACACTGATGATTTGGGTTCAAAACTTTGTCACCAACTGGGAACATGTATATGTAGTAATGCAATGGTGGGTGTATAAATAATATATAATCACACATATATATACTTATATTTATGTGTGTTGTGAAAATTGGATCTTCTGGAAATATCCAGGCAACCTCAGTTTTTTTCCAGAGAGTAGCGTTTAATTGGATCAAAGTAACAGATGAACAGAAACAGTCCGACAGAGTAATAATCAAAATAAAATATCTAGACCTCAGATTACAAAGGTTCTATAAGGACCCATTCTATCTACCCAGCATCTATTTCCAATCTATATATGCACCTATGCGTCTCCCTTCATGACTCTGAACTTTCCTAGCCACTGTAGGCTCTGAATTCAAATGCAGTTTAGTGCCATTCACTAACACGGAAAAGACTTCTGATTGGCTTGATGTCAGTTAACTAAACAGGTTTCGACAAAATTCACTACAGCTGTTCTATTGTGTACAATCAATACTCTGAAAACAGGATGGACAACTGGTAATAAAAATCTAGTTAGCATAGGTGTGTTGAATAACCTCAGCTTGTTTTTAGAAGGAAGTCAGCAGTGACAACCACTGTGCTTCTAAAAAATGTGAAGTGCCATTTAATAATTCCAAGAACCTGGTACCGATCCTACGGACAGGTGCTGCGTGTGATTGTACGCAGCAGCCTGTTCTTCCCTATGGAAGGACGAGGCCGTACGCTGTCGTATGTTCACCTGAGCTACACATCCGTGTGGGTGTCTGTACTCGGATGGACAGAATTGGATCCATTGCGGAAGACCACCTGCATAGCACACTGGGAATCAAAATGGCTGATTCGTGAGGCATTTATAAGGCTGATACAGGCACAACCATGCCTGTATGACCTACGCACCCCGCTTTATAAAAACAGAGGAAGGAGGAGGCAGGCTTGGATCCAAATTGCTTGCCAGGTTTGGGCAGAATGGGAATCTTTCCCTCCACCCGTGCAGGACAGCAAAGGTAAAACATGTGCATGTGACATGCGGTGCATCTATAGTTAGTTGTGATACTGTTGTAGCTTATGTTTCAGCTTGCTTGTGTCGCTATTGTAGGTCTGTGCAGCTGCAGATCTCTATGTGTTGTGGAACTACAAACCCCAGTACGCAGCTACCTCTGGGTGTCATACCTGTTTCTTTTCTGTGTGTACAGACTGTTATGCAGTGGCGTAACCAGAGTTATGGGCGCACCCCTCCCCCACATGCAGCACACAGAGACACCGAGACACCCCCCTGGTTTGGACCAGGCCTGTGGCAGCCCCTATCACCCATGTGTTTTTAAAATGAATTATATTAAAATAGAGGTCTGTGGTGACTGTTAGGTTCATGTCTCTCTGGGGCGGCTTTGCTGGTTCTTTCTGCTTTGTCTTTCAGGTTACAAGCTGCCTGCTGTTGCTAGGAAGATTTACCTCAGTTGCTGGGGAGATTTTTTGTCAGCTGAGCACAGGATTGGGGACAGATTTTTTAGCGGGAAAACAGCTGACCAATAAGTGTAACCTTTCACCTCTATAGTGATTCCTGTTAGTGGGCGGGGTCAGCAGTTACCTCGGGACTGCTGGACTCGCCTCTGAATTACCTTCAGCCTTTCTTTTGGATTTTTTTCTACCTGCCCACCCATTTGCTCTATTTTCCATTAAGGTTAGTCAATCTTTATGGGGGTAATGTCGCCCACTTTGTGGGTGGACGGTGGTTGGTAAACGGGAATATGGTTGGTGTAAGTTATTGCTGCTTGATGACTAAGCATGGTGGCCTGTTAATGGTTAACATTGGTTCTGTCTGAAAATAAAGGTTAAAGTCTATTTCATGGTTACAATTTCTTTAACCAGTTGACATCCGCGGTGTTAAACCCCCTTCCCATCCAGGCCATTTTTCAGTATTCAGCGCTGCGGTACCTTAACTGACATTTATTCCGTCATGCAGCGCTGTACTGAAATGAATTTTATACCCTTTTTTGGGGACAGATAGAGCTTTCTTTTGGTGGTATTTATTCACCACTGGGGGTTTTATTTTTTTACTATATTAAGGGAAAATTACCAAAATTAAAAAAAAAAAACAGTTTCCCCTATATTAAATGATAAAACATTTATTATTACCCAATTTTTTGGTAAAATATAAAAGATGGGGTCACGTCGGGTAAAAAGACACTAAACATGTCAAGCCTTAAAATTGCGTGCGCGCGCGAAACCTCAAA